ACTCATACTTGACCTCGCGTGAAGTACATATACTGAGAAAAATAAACCACACCAGCATGGGATCGCTGGTTCATTTCCCGCGAAACCGTAATCCTACTCATGAGAAGAATGTTGTCGTGTTCACTGTGGATGCTGAAAAGTGTTAGGATGGAACCGGGTTTGGCGCGGCGCCAGCCCGCTTTTGCACCAATTTTTATCGCTTGTTCGCTCCAACGCTGATACCCACCCGTCACGCCCCATCCACAGCAAATAAGACTGTGGTACTGCATACACCTTCATCCAATAGATATCACACCACTCTATTTGAGGCGCCTAAAATAAGGGCGAACTCACTCCGACACATGAAAGGAAGCCTTCGAAGGTATCGCAAATAGCGATACCTTTGAAGGCTTCTTTTCTTTTTTTTTCCAAAAGGGGTTCATTTGTTTTTGCGTGACATTTGTGGGGCAACAGAAAGCTTCCTGTTTCATGCGTGACCACAGTCTCCAACTCGGCAAGCTACCGAGTATTCTATTAGGTTGTCCGGGAAGGTCTTAGCGTTTCGAGTGTTTCACTTTAAACGATCATAACTAGGCACACTTTTGCCAATGTGACGCCAGTCGATAAATCCCATCAAGGAAAAAAACTGGGTGGTCGAGAATCCACGAAGGCTTTTTTGCCTGGTCCTGATTGATGAAGTATTTTCCAGCAAGGAAGTTCTGAAAATGTTTGAAAAGGTGATAGTCGGTTGGTGAAAGGTCTGGAAGGGTGCAAAGAATCGGACCCTTTCTGTTGACAAGTGCTGGCTGCAGCTGACGCAATTTTCGGTACATTTCGTCGATTTCTTCACAGTAGGACTCTGCTGTGATGGTTTGGCCTGGTGACAAAAGTTATCCACACTGTGACCATAATCTTTTTTTCGTGAGGATTCGGCTTTGGAAATTGCCTCGGTGGTTCGTCGGCATCCAACCACTGTCCGGAACGTCTCCTGTTATCATACATGATCCACTTTTCATCACAGGTGACTCGGTCCAAAAACGGGTCGTTTCTGTTGCGCAAAAGCAGTGAAGAAGAAACCTCGAGACGTGCCAATTTCTGCCGGTCACTCAAATTGTGGGGCACCCACTTTTTTCACCTTCCCAATGCGTTTCAGACCATCCGCAACAGTGGATTTGCCAACGCCTAGCTTTTCTGCAATCTCTCGAACTGTTTGGGATGGGTCAGCCTCCACAAACGCCTTCAAATCCTCGTCAGATATTGCTTTAGGTCGACCGCTACGAGGTTCATCTTCAAGGCTGAAATCTCCAGAACGAAATTTGTCGAACCGTCGCACGGTGCTTTCTCCAACACTATTGGGCCCCCACACCTGGTTAATTTGTCGAGCTGTCTCGACTGCGGATTGACCCAATTTGTAGTTGAAGAAAAATATCGTCCGAAGTTGCTCTTTTGACATGCTTCAAAAAGTCTTGGGAAAGGTCGTGAAGCAGTGGATGTAACGCACATTCATCAAGTCTATACAAAGCGCCAAAAAATTACTCTTCAGGATGTACTACTGGACCAAGAGAGTCGAGTTTTCAATCAGCAATTAATTTACAAAAAATAGTAACACAAAACGCTGAGAACTTTCCGGACAACCTAACACTTCACGCGCGAAAAACTGCCTTCAGGTACGAGAAAGTTCATTATCACGGTCACGACCATTGTTTTGCAAAGAATTGTAATGGTTTTAAACAAGCAGTTTGTGAGACATGTCATGGAACCCCAACAGGTTACCGGGCCATTTGACAAAGAAGTGTATTCAGTAAGCTGAAGCTTTTCCAACTCATCTGCAAAAACAATATCGCCGCAACCCGACGATGAGCCTTTTACCCGCTATGATCGCTAATGACATCTTGGGCCAGAACTGCAGTGAGCAAGCGAAGGAAATGAAGTGCTCTATAAATCCACCAAAGAAAAGCATGAAACGGTAGTTAATCAGTGAGCCATCTGTGTAAAATTTAAGGCTAACATAAAAGCAGCACAGGTGGGCAGTAGATGTAAAGTTATGCAGGCGAATAATAGAATGATTGTTTCTATAACGCCCAGCACTCATTGGGAATGGAAAGTGAGGAGCTAATAACGAACTTCACGATACAAAAGAACTACCAAAGGTGAAAGGGCAGCAACTGTCCCTTTTTCTTGAACACCACTGTTTATTTGACAATGTTGAGAAATTTTTGGGGGAGAAAGAGAGCATGAGGTAGAAAGCCCTTAGAGAGTGATCATAGAACTGCATTTATTTTACACCAATTTTGAACCATATTTACACATCGAAAAAAACCTCTGCTACTGCATTGCACTGCTGACCGATAAGCAACAACGGAAGGCTAAATACAAATGAAAGGAAATGAATCAGGCGATTGTTGTTTGCATTTGTGATGACGGTGCCATCCGATTCTAGTTTGCAATCTCCAGAATTCCTTGCCTAATCAGCATTTCACAGTCATGTCTTGGTAAGGAATGCTGGAACCAGAGATGAATTTCTAAGCAATGAATAATCCAATGACGCTGATAGCTGTGTGGGGGAGGAGAGACATTTTGCTTGTTTCTTCAGTTCTTGCATCCTGGTGAGACATGTAAGCTCTTGTAAATTCACGAAATGCACGAGCTCCATTATGTATTGCTGCTTTAACTTTATATGAGTTTACAGGTTTCCACAAGGTAGCCTGTACAGCCTTTGCGAAGTGCCACTTCATAAAGAGTTTACAGGTCTCCACGTTGATGGAATTCAGTAAGATGCAGCCACCCCTCCCCCTCCTTGCGAACAGCGCCAAATCACTTACTTTTTTGGTGAAATTTATAACTTAACTTAGACCTTACCATTTACATAGATAACATTTTTACATTTAAAGAGCCTTTAATTTACATTGATTAACATTTTCACCTATTTTCAAGCAGCTGCTTTAATTTATTAACTAATGGATTGGCAGGATAAGATCAACTAAGTGCACACGGGGACCATCCATAGATCTTACAAAGGAATTTGAAAACAGGAATTAAATTGGCTGTACTCACCGTTGAATTGACTTGCAGCATTACTAGATTACCATCAGAGGTCTCGAACTCGCCATAGTTCTCCAACACCCGTACCTGCAAGGTAACGTCTAATAATAAAACAGGAACAGCTTCAGGCTCTCTGTCAGTCATATTAGTCAGTCACATTAAGCTCAGTGCCTCAAGCTTCCCTCGTCCGCTGTTGGATTTTGACCCGAGGGCGAGCTCCGATTGCACATCAGGCTCGTTCTACCTACTAAACTAGTGGAACGAAAAGAGAATATCAAGTATGCTCTTACTAGAACGCGCCTATCCCAGTCATGCTGAGTTATGGAAAGAGGTCTTGACCCCAGGCGGGGCTCTGGCCCCCACATCGCGCTCTCCGGGCTAGCTCGCTGTCCGTTACGCCATCAAGGCCGCTTCTTACCCTTTCAACTTGATGAAATCGCTTGATGGCACGAAAACCATCGACATAAACCAGCTCGAGAATTCAATAATAACTGCATTCAAGTGTCCAGAACTATGTTCTCAATTGGACAGTACGCTCAGGACCAACCAACATCACTTTCCAAGACATTAGCAATAAAAACGATAAGTAAAATCTTATGGTCAGGCGTGCAGTCAAGCTTATGAAAGTTTTAGCTCTATGCTTCCTGCATATGCAAAAAGACAATAGATTTGAAGAGAAGAGAAAACTTAATCAGGTCCTAACCTGGACGTAAAGTGCCTTCGGAGGGTGTGTACTCAATAGAAGATTCACACCGTTTTCACCTATTCCGGCTTGGAACTCCGCCAAACTGCTACAGTACTCATTGAAAAACTCGATTTCTGCTTCGCATAGATTATTCTGAACGAACAGTCAAATAGGAAGAGCAAAAACAGGTATGCTGTGAATATAATACCTTCACTGACGCTGGTAGTACCCCTCCCAGCCGCCAACGATACGATCTTATCCTCTCGGCGCGCGCATGGATATATGCTAAGCAAACACCTCTAAAATTAGAATATCAGTTTTGACAATAAAATCTTGCAAGAAAGCAGAAAGGTTGCCCTAATGAATGAATGCCATCTAATACAAGACCTAGGTCGAGAAAGAAAAATTGGGGCACGGTCTAACGAGCGCATCAGGAAGCAAACAGGGTTGTTGTGTGATGCAAACGAAACTAACTGCCCCGGCTTTGAATTATGATAAGAAATAATAAATTAAGCAGCTGATATTTGAAGTTCTGACCAACACGTTTAAAAATATGGGAACCCGAAGATTCTCACCCGAATATGCTGAAGGGCCTCATTCCGACAAATCATCACTGCTTCGAGTTCCCGGCTTGCCCGTTCACCTTGTGACCGAAGACGTGTTCTAAATGTAGAATGGACTTCATTGCAGCTGCAGTGGTTCAAAATCAACACAAACTATAAGGTAAGCACGACAAACAGGAAATCAGATTGCACCCGTAACAAACCAAAAACATGCAAATAACAATGCAATAATGCAGCAACATGATAGACTTCTGATCCAGTACTTACGGAGAGGTGAGTATGCTCGAAGTGAGCTTATGGATAGTTACCGCCAGTAAAGAACACGTATGAGTAAATTGGGGCGTGGCACACCATCCCAACTGTAATAACCCTGTACTGATTGCTACTGGAGTATTCTTATATCGGCTCAGGTTGGCCCGAACCCCGAGGCCCATGAATTCAGTTTACTTGAACTCGGAATAAGACATTTTGCGATGTGAAACTCTCTTTTATGTAGAATCGGCGATAAAGGAGAGCATACAATCGATCTGGAAAACGCGAATATTTGGAAAATCGGGGGCAGGAAGGGAAAGGGTTGGCCGCAGTCACTAAAGCTGCGTTCACACTTGGTGTCAGCGTACGGCAGCGTTTCGAGCGTATGCCACCGCCAGCGACTAGGAAAGTTTAGGTATCGATCTAGCGTACGCCAGCGTACTGCAGCGTTTTAAGCAACTAGGAAATTATCGATATCTTTCTAGCGAACGCTGGCGCTGGCGTACGCTCGAAACGCTGACGTATGCTGACGCAAAGTAAGAACACAGCGTAACAAAACGCGGATCCTCCACATCGATACGCACGGAAGTCTTCGTTGCAGACGTTAGGCGTGTCAGGGGGAGACTGGGTTGACGCGACGCCAGCCACCAGTTGTTGATACTTGCCCGCTTCAGCAATTTTTGGACAACCCCCTCCTTGACACACCCATCGTCTGCAGCGAGAATCACTGTATTCTTCTCTTTGTCGCGCATCCGCTGCAATTGCGAATTCTGTTCAGACGCGGATTTTCCCGCGTTCGCAAAGTAAGCACGGTCCAACACATTATAGACGAATGATATAAAATCACTTACACGCATTCGTTATTCTGATTATACAGCTCGTTCATTTTAGCGATACATGCTCTCATAGCTTCTTCCTAAAAAAATTCGCAACAGTTACCATACCACATGGGCATGGAACTTGAAGCAGAAAAAAACCTACATTGTAAGGTGGCATAACGTCGGGATTTCTTTTCATCTGTGTGAGAAGAAGAAGAGCCTGATCCGCAACTCCTTCCAAATTGTCATTATCTGGAGCCATTCTGAAAAAGTGAACATTCTTGCGGTACTCCTACATTGACGATCATATCAATTTTTCTGAAGATCGAAGAACAGAGTTGTACTGAAACAAGCAAAGGGTTTCATAGCACCATCAACATTCACTACAAATTGCGGATATTTTTGAGTATATGTCACCTGATGGGAAGGCATGAAATGGCACTTTTCCGAAGAGGAGGCTTACCACGCAGGCGATACGGGAGTCAAATCCCGGACTGGCTCTCGCCCACACCAACCAAACCTTCTACCCTCCAGGGGCGGCGAATTAGTTCCAGATTCGTCTGGGAGGATAAGAACACTGACTTGTACATTGGCTGGTCCCTCAAGTCATTGTATAGGCCACATCGCATTCAATAAGCCACTGCGATTCTGAATGGAAGTAGAATGCGTGCCGCATCCCGCAAAGGGATTGAGGGGCT